ATTACTTTACATTACATTCAGCTACCACAGAGCCATCTTAAGTGTAACTAATTCAAGTTAAATAAGCAATGTCTTAATCAAACTTATCTCAATTGTAAAGCATGTATAAAGGAAATATTTAGAATAAAGCCAATATATAAACTTCCTTTCCGTATAGACGTATTTACGTCAAATTCTCCGGAACCGTGGTTCCACTGACAACTTTTTATGGTACCCGAAGTTCATTACTGATTTCTACCCTCGGCCACATGAATACAGTCCACACCTACTACTTCATTTCTTTAATGTTACTTAATATTAACTTTCTATTTATACCTCGGATTCCATAAGAACTTCTTTACCAGGACTTTTTGAAATTTGAGCTCAATATAAAGCATCAGTACTTCTGCGTTTGCCGGAAAACACTCACCGACGACCTCTGATACCAAATTTTACATTTACACTTATGTGTTACGTTATTTGAGACAAAACATACATATGGACACACACTTCATCACTAAAATATTTTATGTATTTTGTGAGAAGATATTCAGACCATGCGAATACAAGAAATTTATCTGCAAGGAAGAAGCTCTTGTTCGACGCCTCAAGATGGAAGTAAGGACACATTTCAAGAGAACTAGTCAGACACCTTGAGGCTGCGTGGGTTTCAAATTCAAGGGCATCCTAGCAGCCACCTTGGGCTAATTATAAAGATGACATGCTTAAATTGGCATTAATTTTTGAGAAGTTATTTCGTCTGCTATGGTAACCAACAAACCAAATAAACGAACAAACTACGAACTAGGTACATATAGAGTCGTAGAAATTTCTCTAATTATCGTGGTAGGTCCATCACAACTGTAAAATAAGCGTGATAATAGATCCTACCGTTCAGGAATTTCAATTCAGCGTACTTCATAACGTAGTTCTCTAATGTCCAGTACTGATTATATCCCAAAATCTAAATTGCCTTCTCCTAAGCGACTTATTTGGAAGAGATTTCCGTACCAAAGTCATTTGGGGGTTATGTTTTGAGTCATCGAAATCTTCCTCTTGTCACGATAATAATCCCATAAAGAACAGCATAAATTATCACGTGCTTCTGTTATTTAAAAAAATATGAGTTAACTATGACATTCTGATTGGTGCTCACGAAGTGTAAAAAGATATTTTTGAAAAATATACGAAAAACAAGTGAAAAATATTTTAGAAGAAAGAGGTAAAATTCTGGGCTTTGGTGATCGGTTTACGTGCGGATTTTTCACTAACAACATGAAATGAATGTGTTATGTGGAAATCGTTACGTCTTTTTATCTTCGTAACGACTTAATAGTATTTATATCAAACTGTTACTTCCTCATTCGTTGGTCAAAATATTCTATTCCTTACACTGTTTTCCTACACCCTCAATCTGAACCGTTAATGTCGGAGACCATGTTTCACACCCGCAGAAAACTTCAATCAAATAATGCATGACTATGTAGTGGTACCCCTGTATTGTGATTTACCTTTGAAATAACAGCCAATGCAATGCCAACTAAACATGAACAATTACAAATAACGTGTTGATAAATTACGTACACATGCACTTTGAAGTTACAGTGTGTGTGTTGGTAGCCTTGGTTGATTTTTTTTCGTAACACATATTTTTTTAAAGGTGAAAGGTTGTTAGCCCTACACCCAACCCCCAACCTGGAGGACCAGGGTATCACTCTTAGTCTAGCGCATCTCCTTAGACCTGTCCGGCTTGGGTACAATGACGAGCTTAAAAATCTGTACTGCTCCCCCAGTATTGTGAGGGTGATTAAGTCGAGCAGAGTGAGATGGGCGGGACATGTAGCGTGCATGGATGGGACAAGAGGTGTGCACTGGGTACTGGTTGGGAAACCTGAAGGGAAGAGACCGCTGGGGAGACCTTGACGTAGATGGGAGGATAATCTCAGGCGGGATCTATGGGAGATAGGAGTTGAAGGAGACTGGATTTTGTTGGCCCAGGACAGGGTCCGGTGGAGGGCTTTGGTTAATTCGGTGATGAACCTTCGGGTTCGGTAAGCCATCTAGTTAGTTAGTTAGTTAGTGTTGGTAGCCTTGAAGGATATTCTTTTTGTTTCCCACCCTGCGGCTCTGGAATCAATTAAACACACTGCGTGGTGTTGACATCTCTTCATCACCTGTTGGTCTGTCATCTGCTGATGAAAGGTGAGAAGTACCGTTCCTCCGACTATTACTGACAGCGTAACCTAACCTGCTGAAGTACGACTTCTTGAAATGTCTACTGTTACTCAGTAGCCAACTGTGGAATATCCACAACACAGCGGGAGAACATTAGAAGAACTTTACCCGTACAGCGAAAACGTGCAGCCATGAAAACCTACGACATTTACAGCGCCTCGAAAAAACAAAAGATTACTCGTAGAAGATAAGACGGAGTTGCTGCACATAACAAACAAACATTACGACACCACGAACAACAGCAATGAGTTTTTAACATAACCAGAGGAAAAGACCCGTTGAAATTCAACGGGGAGTAATTCTATCTAAATACCTTACCATTTTTCTTCATTTTGTAACACTCTT